TCTCCACAATCCCCAAATATGCAAATCAGAAAAAATTCAATTGTGTAATGTTTACACTTCAGTATTATTAAAATAAAAACCTATGCATCTTTTCTCTTAATACCAAACAAATCTCTGTTTCATTCATTGTTTACCAATTTTTTTAAAAAAAAGAAGCATTTTGTGTATAGAATGAGAAATCACAACAAACAAAATGAGTTTACAAAAATTCATTTCAACTATAATCATGAACCCCATTGAAAAATTTAAGTCAAATGACAAGAGAATAGCGCACACACCAACACACACACACACACACTGAAACAGATTGCAATCTAATTCAAATCAACAGAATATTTCTGTTCATTTTAATTATGTGCGCGTTTTTATTTACTGTAAAAGTATACTATACACAGAATGCTATACTGCTCTTTGCATAGAGCTGAAGATTTCCTATGAGACTAGAGATTCGTTGTGATGAACATTTTGGGGATGTTTCGGCATTGTTTTTGGCAAGTATTGCTAACAGTCCACATATAAAAAAATTGGTTAGCAGGGCTGACTGATTTCATTGATACTACTGGTAGTGGTTGTTTTGCAACATTCTCGAGGAATGCATATCACAGCATTGCTAATAATAATAATGAGTTTATGATAGTTATGTATAGGTGGGATGGGTCGAAATGGCCTGTGTTCATGCGGTGCATATTGATTGACGAAACGATCATGAATCGGAAATGGTGTGAATGGTCCACCAGGGTGTCACGTACCTGTGTGGTGGTTGCACTACGGGATTGAGCCGAAATGTTCATTGTGGGGTTGTTGTGAAGATTGTTAAGTTTTATTTGAAACTATGAATCGGACCCTAACAATCTTCACAACAACCCTGCAATGCAATTACATGTGCTCACTAGTGACTAGCTTGGTGAGGAATCTTCTCCGGGTTCTAGTGGGAAGTCTTGACCAGTGAAGTTCAAACCTGTTCCGATGTATACAGTGTATGAGGTTGCGCAACTCCGTGAATTTGATCAAGTTAGACATTAACACCGATAGAGAGCCTCTCAGTGGTCTGTTGGTTAGGGCGTTCGCGCACAACACCGAAGGTCCTGGGTTTGAGTCCTGCCGGGTGCAGGAGTCGTGGATGCACACCGCTGATGAGTCCCATACCAGTACGAAACGGCCGTCCAGTGCTTCCACGGTTCAAATGGTGGTCTAACATTGGTCGATTCATAGTTTCAAACGAACTGTTCATTTTGAGGCACAGTTTTGGAGGTTTGCGATTTTTTTTTACACATTTGAAATCATCAATCAATCATTGTTAGACCACCATTAGAAATCTGGAAGCACTGGACGGCCGTTTCGTCCTGGTATGGGACTCATCAGCAGTGCGCATCCACGACTCCTGCTCCTGCCTAGATCAATCAGAGTTAGATATTAACACCGTTGGATGCCGGCCCACTGGTCCGACGGTAAGGCGTTCGCCTACGATGCCAAAGGTCCCGGGTTCGAATCCTGCGAGGAGCAGGAGTCGTGGATGCGCAATGCTGGGGAGTCCCATACCAGGACGAAACGGCCGTCCAGTTCTTCCAGGTTTCTAATGGTGGTCTAACAATGATTGATTGATGATTTCAAATGTGTAAAGAAAAGAACTGTTCATGTCGAAATGCTAACACGTGAGCAGTCTCTTTGGTTCTATTGAGAACCAATGTAAAATTGGATAAGATATTGATCTGAACATCTAAAAACCAGTTGTGTATATCTGTTTGTTACGAATGCACGCAAACACGTCAACTTGATATACTTGAACTATTACGAGGTTACCTTAGTCGAGCAACGAGAGTGAGGATCGAGGATTCGGTGACACGACAGACTACTCTAATCCGATTGTACTAACCCCCATTGAGTGAGAGAAGAAGACTTGATATGAAGTAGAATCACAATGTTAGGACATTCATCAAATCTCTTAAGAGAATTATTGGTCGATTCCTATTGGTTAATACCTACTGGTCAATTTTATGGTCGTCCTAGATATCAATGTCATGCGCTCCAATGTTCTTTCTTATTGGTTGTCCTGATTATTGATTTCACTTCAAATGTTGCTTCCTATTGGTCGTCTTAACTGTCAATGTCGCAGAATCCGATGCTGTTTTCTATTCAACCAAAATGTATAAATACGCATTATCTGTAACATATTATGACTTTGACCAGGAATCAGTTCCGGATCACTAGTCTGGGATTCAGATTCTCTTCTGGACTCGGACCTCGTGCTTTCTGGATGCTTGTAGAATACAGGTTCTACCTCACATTCAGGTCTTCTTATTTTTATTCAATATGGGGGTTGGGATAATCGAGTTCCAGTAGCATGTCGTGTCGCCGGATCCCCGATCCTCACAGTCGTTTTCCGACTAAGATAAACTCGTAATAATTCAATCATATCAAAATGACGTGTTTACGTGCCGGCATAACACACAATCTGAGCAGTTGTTTATTTTGTAAATGATATTTGGTTTTACTTCTTTTGTCTTTAAAAATAAAAATTGTTTCACAAATCAATATCGGTTATCATGAGTTGGCAGAGTGTTCACTTGTCTGCTCTTTGTTATTTTGATTAGAAAATTAATTTCACATACGGTCACAATGTGATCAACTCATACCGACTAATTCCATTAATGATCCAAATTTGTTTTGAAAATCAATCTGTGCATCTGTTGCCAATATCAACATTATCAAAGTTGTAATAGTTGAATCAAATGAAATAGTGACAAATGTGTATGCAGATGGGTCATCTAGTCAACTCCACAACATCATCAACATGAACTCATTTATAGTGCGTTTTAATTAGTCGCTTCGTTCAATGAGGCGGCCACTACAATAGTTAACGTCGAACCGAACGCAAGTCACACACACGCACACACACACACTTTCCAAATCATACTGGTACATCCACATATCTGTGTGTGAGTGTGTGAGATTTGTCAATTTTAATGAACACAATTGTCTAATGTGTTCAGAGTGAAACAGTGTCAGAAGGTACAGATTTCATGAGGATCAAAAAACCTTACTTATTTACTTACTTACTTACGTATTTACTTACGTCTGTTACCCCCAATGGAGCATAGGCCGCCAACCAGTTTTCTCCAACCAACTTTTTCCTGGGCTTTCTTTTCCAATTCTGTCCAATTTCCGTTTATTCTTCTCATATCTTTCTCTATTTCTCGGCGTAATGTATTCCTTCGCCTTCCTCTTTTCCTTTTACCTCGAAGGTTCCATGTGAGGGCTTGTCCTGTGACGCAGTTGGGTGCTTTTCTTAGTTTGTGTCCTATCCACTTCCACCACTTCTTCCTGATTTCCTCCTCCACTGGAATGTGGTTTGTTTTCTCCCACAGTTCGTTGTTGCTGATGGTGTCTTGCCAACGAATCGGAAGTATTTTGTGTAGACAACTGTTAATAAACACTTGTGTCTTCTGGATGATGGCTTTGGTAGCTCTCCAAGTTTCCACTCCATACAGTAGAACTGTCTTAATATTTGTATTGGTTAGTTTTGGTTGAAAGTTGTTTGGCGTTCCAAATATTTTTCACTTGTAGAAATGCAGCCCTTGCTTTGCCAATCCGCGCTCTCACATCTGCATCGGATCCACCTTTCTGGTCGATGATACCAAACAACCTTCAATGAAATCCCATAAAGGGGTTGCTCAAATAATTATTTTCAGCGATTATATGAATAACACATTCGAAACTCACTTCTCTCTGTTTATTGTACAATGTTACGACTGTCGAATACCATTATTAGTAAGTGCAAACGGATCGCTCGTAGACAAGTTGCCGAATGACAAGAATGGGACTGGTTGATTGAGATGTGTTGATCTACAGTTTGTCGAACTGTTATCCAATCGTCTGGTTTAATTAGCTAAGCAGAGTGTTGGGAACTGATAGTTATTATTATTATTACTGCTATTGTCATGAGTCAATTATGTTGTTTGAGTTGAGGAATTTGAATGAATGCTCTGTGAACTATTCAGTCGTCAACTAAACGTTTCGTGCACTGACTACAATGAATGGCGTCACGATTGTGTTCTCATCATCAACATCGACAGAATCGCAAATGGGATGTTCAACCTTTGTGAATTGTGATGGTACTCGGCTTTCTTCTCAACATGAGAACCATCTACAGCTACAAAGCGCGAATCACTAATCTCAACTCGATCTTACGTGCTTCTGGTTGAAACACGATCTTTCTACAAACTTAACTTTATGGGATCTTGGGATTCTCTATTTTCGATCTCACACCTTTGTGGAAATGTCAGACAACCAGTTGTATCGAATGAAAGTCAACAAACCTGTCTGCATGGTTTGTTAATCTACAATCTTTCAGTTCTACTTGAATAAAACCACTGATGGAATAGCCTCTGAAGACGCACATGACAACGTTTGTCATGACCGATGGACTGCGATCCTCCACAGAACGACTATAAACCGTCAACAAATGCCCAATTATCTAATTCCACTTTGAATCTACACAGAAACACCTAGCGACAGCTTCAAATACGACAATATTCCGTTGAGTGGAATGTCTCACTTGTTCAGATTATATGCCACACACAATTTCGACCTGGATGGATTCTGTGTTTATCGAAAAATTCACACCATCTCTTCGGTTTGTGCTTGTGTCACTGGTGACAACGCTCACCGAGTGAATGACGACTCACCATCGCAACCTGCAACCACAAATCAGTTCAGCATTGTTCATACCATCAACCTCATGTCACACAATATTATATGAGTGAACGATTTCTCAGAATCACATTTTTACTGGCAATCAAATATGTTGTGAATATGCTACACACACATAGACAATGACGATTGGACAACTAACAGATCACAACCGATTATTGATTGATGTACAGAACTACCAATCAGAAGATAAAAAAAGATTGAAATTTTTTCATGCATACTCTACTATATAAACACCACACATCACCCACCGTCCCTTACAAGCAAAAATAACTTGACATTTTGAGACGATGTATTGGCCTGGAGATGCAAGTGAGTGTTTGGTAGATATTATTTTATCAACGTTAAACAATTGTGTTCTTCTTTGTAGTTATCAACACCCAAATGACCGAAACAGCTGTTTATTCATGTCAACGTAATGAAGTAACTACACCGTCTAGCGTAAGTTCAGATCGATGAGTGAATTCTTGTGAATTGTTTATTTTGTGATGAACGAGTTGGTTGTTTGTGAGTGATCGGTTGTCTAACTAATTTGGTATCGGTTGGGACTGAGATGCGAGAGGGCAGGAGAGTGGGCAATGTGACTCGGCTCCAGTCATCTCGCTCTCCCTTCCTCCTTATGTGTAGTTCGTATGCATTTTGAGGAGTGCGAAACGAGAAATTGACGGTGTGTCGACAAGATTCCAATCATTCGCTGGCTTTACACTGAAATATCAATGTCAACCATGAACACATTCACTAGTCCACATCAAGCCTTCATAAGTTCTCCAAACTATGCCCATTCACATATTATTAATGTTTCACTGTTCTCCACATATATCATCAAAATTAATCTTCCCTTATTTATCCATTACAGACTTCTTACAGATTATCCAACCTACTTAGACTCGTTCCGACATGTCTCAATCAAATTATATCCAATCTGACGAAACCAGTGAATAACAGTGATGTTGTGGATTTACATTGAACACTACAACTTCACTTGTATATTTGACAGTTTTTTGTGAATTATGAGCAATAAAATGTTTCTGCGCGATCAATCAATAAACCATAGTCCTATGAATGATTCTCTTTTCGTTTTGACTAGCGAATCACAGCTGTTTGTTGTACCCAGATGAATATTGTTGAGTGGAGTGTTGAGTGTAGGACAGTAGAGACACTAGTGTTATCGGTCGGTGTTTAGTTACTCATGATTGCGCCCTTCTTCTGCACACCAAACTGGATGAGAGTGAGCTTGTTGGGAATGTGGCACGATATCTTGTTACTCCACTCGTGTTTCAGTTGGTTTTACTGTGTAGTCGCCGCATGTCGGAACGTTTTGACTGACTGATTGTGAATGGTGTGGTCGGAGCAGGACAAGAGTGCGATAAATGAAATTCGACTGAACTCCAAGTGATAAACATTTGTTTAAGTGTTCATATGCCTCTTCCTACCAGCGTTTTGATTTATTCGGTTGGGAAGCACCATTTTCGCTGTAAACGGACTACATTCATTTCTATGACGAACTTGTTTAGTGAGGTGCATGTACGAAAGTCAAGCCGCATATCTATTTAATGAATGATTAGATGGAGTGTACTGTTGTGTGAGGGCTTCATCGAAACAGATTACGAAAATTAGATTTCAGTTCGTCGTGATACTTACTGATAGGTAGTGTATTTGAAGTAAGAGCACGTTACTGTTGTGCATCTGAGTGAATGAACAGTTGTGATTGATGGAAAATCTAATTCCAAATGCCTAAACAACGTTCAAATTAGCAGTCGAAGTCTTACACTAAATTTTACCACAGTAAATCTTCGAACATACATCGACATTTAAAGATAACTAATATTTTAGCGTCAAGTACTAGGTATGTATCAAGAGGAATTGTGTGGTTTCATAGGTTGGGATTCACTGTATTTCTAAGTTGTATTTGTCGTTGTTATTTGCCGGCGATCTGTGACATTCACATTAAAATTAATGAGGATTCGACGCCGTCTCGCACATTGCACACAATAACTCTTATCGTTACAATTTCATATGTGGCTACCGCCAGGTGAACAGACTACGGGTTCTACTTCATATCGATTCTTCTTCTTTCCCTCAATGGGGGTTGGGACAGTCGGATTAGAGTAGCATGTTGTGTCGCCGGATCCTCGATCCTCGATCTCGTTGCCCGACTTTACCAAACTCGTAATAGTTTAAGCATATCAAACTGACATGTTTACATGCATGCGTAACGTCAAGTCATCTATAATTTTCGATATTCCATCATACACATATGTGACATTGGTATAAGTCAACGAAAAACTATACCTAACGAAAAATGGCAACCGACATCGATTCTGATAATGAAAATCATAATTCCCATCTTATTCTGACTGGATGCTTGGACCAAAGTCACAATAGTGAACGACAGTAGAGTATATACCCAGTTCAATTTTGGTGTAGTAGATTATTATACAAACTACAACAAGTTGAACAGTAGGATAAGATAAAACTAACATGATATCACACTACTCATTAACAATTCATGAAAACACTTGACTATGCGATTCGAGTAATTTTCTCCTGAAAACAATGATAATTTTAATAGGCTGAAATATCAATCTCATGTGTGTGCTAGGAACTCCGCCAGTAGAACCTTAGGGGCTACTGCCGGTCCCAAGCCCGGATAAAGGAGGAGGGTTGGACATGGGGTTGGCGGCCCCATTCCGTTGAAATCTAACTTGCCAAAAAAACGCTAACCAGAAAAAATAATTCAAACCATTTTAACTCTGCCCTGGGAGTCGGAAGAAGAATTATGACGTCTCGTGATGAAAGCCGAGTCCCCTCGGAAGTCACGGGGCCGATGCCTCTTCTGACAACCAGAGCAACCATTTTTTTAGGTACATGGAACGTTCGTACATTGTGGGAGACTGGAAGACTATTTCAAGTTGCGGCAGAAATGAAAAGATACAACCTCGAGGTGCTCGGCATCAGTGAAACACATTGGACACAGGTAGGACAACTAAGACTTGCTTCAGGGGAACTGCTGTTATACTCTGGTCATGAAGAGGAAAACGCTTCACATACACAAGGAGTTGCACTGATGCTGTCCAAACATGCACAAAAGGCACTGATAGGATGGGAATCTCATGGACCCAGGATCATTAAAGCATCCTTCAAAACAAAGAAACAGGACATTACAATGAACGTCATCCAATGTTATGCACCTACCAATGACTACAATGACGACGTTAAAGATCAATTCTACGAAAGGCTGCAGTCAGTCGTCGATAAATGTTCACCAAAGGATCTGACGATTCTTATGGGAGACCTGAATGCCAAGGTTGGAATGGACAACACTGGATATGAAGACATCATGGGACGACATGGACTGGGAGAAAGGAACGAAAACGGTGAGAGATTTGCAAACCTATGTGCCTTCAACAAACTGGTCATCGGTGGCACAATATTCCCGCACAAACGCATTCACAAAGCCACATGGATTTCACCGGACCACACTACTCAAAACCAAATTGACCATATCTGTATCAACAAAAAGTTCAGAAGGACCATGGAGGATGTGAGAACCAAGAGAGGAGCTGATATAGCTTCAGATCACCACTTGCTGATCGCCAAAATGAGATTGAAGCTAAAGAAGCACTGGACAGCGGGGCAGACAACATCACAGAAGTTTAATACGGCCTTTCTTCGGGATACCGTAAAACTCAACGAATTCAAGATAGCCCTCACCAATAGGTTCCAGGCCTTTCAGGATCTACTCAATTGAGAGGAAGCAACATTGGAGTACAATTGGAAAGGGATTAAGGAGGCAATCACTTCAACATGTCAGGAGGTCCTTGGTCGCAAGAAGCACCATCACAAAGAATGGATCTCTGTTGGTACTCTTGAAAAAATGCAAGAAAGGAGGAACAAGAAGGCAGCAGTGAATGTCAGCCGAACAAGAGCAGAGAAAGTTAAGGCGCAAGCCGAGTATACAGAAGCAAACAGGGAAGTGAAGAAGAGCATCAGAGCTGACAAACGAAAATATGTGGATTATCTAGCAATGACGGCGGAAAAGGCTGCAAGAGAAGGAAACTTGAGACAATTCTACGAAACTACAAAGAAGCTCGCCGGGAACTATCGTAAACCAGAAAGACCAGTGAAAAGCAAGGAAGGGAAAATAATCAGCAACACTGACGAACAGCGAAATAGGTGGGTGGAGCACTTTAAGGAACTATTGAATCGACCAGCTCCACTGAACCCACCCAACATCGAAGCAGCATCCACGGACCTCCCAATTAATATTGGCGCACCCACGATTGAGGAGATCAGTATAGCCATCAGACAAATCAAGAGCGGCAAAGCAGCAGGACCAGACAACATTCCAGCAGAGGCAATGAAAGCAGATGTGGAAGCAACTGCGAAAATATTTCACATTCTCTTCAAGAAGATTTGGGATGAGGAACAAGTACCATCAGATTGGAAAGAAGGATACCTCATCAAAATACCAAAGAAAGGCGATCTCAGCAAGTGTGAGAACTACAGAGGCATCACTCTTCTTTCAATACCATGCAAAGTCTTCAACAGAGTATTGTTAAACAGAATGAAGGACTTCGTAGACGCCCAACTTCGAGATCAACAGGCTGGATTTCGTAAGGATCGATCGTGTACTGACCAAATTGCTACATTACGGATCATTGTGGAACAATCAATTGAATGGAACTCACCACTCTACATCAACTTCATCGACTACGAGAAAGCATTCGATAGCGTGGATAGGAAAACACTGTGGAGGCTTCTTCGACACTACGGTGTGCCTGAGAAAATAGTCAACATCATACGGAATTCTTATGATGGATTCAACTGCAAAATCGTACACGGAGGTCAGCTGACAGACTCTTTTGAGGTGAAGACCGGTGTCAGGCAAGGTTGCTTACTCTCACCCTTTCTCTTTCTCCTGGTCATCGACTGGATTATGAAGACGTCAACATCTGGAGGGAAGCACGGTATCAACTGGACAGTTAGGACGCAGCTGGACGATCTGGACTTCGCAGATGACCTGGCTCTTCTATCGCACACTCAACAACAAATGCAAGAGAAGACGACCAGTGTAGCAGCAGCCTCTGCAGCAGTAGGTCTCAACATACATAAAGGAAAAAGCAAAATTCTCCGATGCAACACAACAGGCACCAACCGAATCACGCTTGATGGAGATACCTTGGAGGACGTTAACACCTTCACATATCTTGGCAGCATCATCGACGAGAAAGGTGGATCGGACGCAGATGTGAGGGCGCGGATTGGCAAAGCGAGGGCTGCATTTCTACAGTTGAAAAATATCTGGAACTCCAAACAACTTTCAAAGAAAACCAAAATCAGGATCTTCAATACAAATGTCAAGACAGTTCTACTGTATGGAGCGGAAACATGGAGAACTACCAAAGCCATCATCCAGAAGATACAAGTGTTTATTAACAGTTGTCTGCGCAAAATACTTCCGATTCGTTGGCCAGACACCATCAGCAACAACGAACTGTGGGAGAGAACAAGTCAGATTCCAATAGAGGAGGAAATCAGGAAGAAGCGGTGGAAATGGATAGGACATATACTACGAAAAGCACCCAACTGCGTCACTAGACAAGCCCTCACATGGAACCCTCAAGGCAAAAGGAAAAGAGGAAGGCGAAGGAACACACTACGCCGAGAAATAGAGAAAGAAATGAGAGGAATGAACAAACATTGGACAGAACTGGAGAGGGAAGCCCAGGACAGAGTTGGTTGGAGAAAACTGGTTGGCGGCCTATGCTCCATTGGGGGTAACAGGCGAAAGTAAAGTAAGTAAGTGTGTGCTAGGAGGTGGAAATAGTGGAGCATAGTCATGATGAAATATCGAATCACACTTTATAGTTATCAGTAGTTGTTTTAAGTGATACGTAGTTATTGGCTCGGTTGTCTAGAGGTTCGGTGTATGCTCACGAGACCGTAGGTCCTGAGTTCGATACCTGAGAACGGAGTTCATGGATGCTTACTGTCACTGATTAGTATCATGCGAGGACGAAACAGCCGGTAATTTTCGGTTTCTAATGGTGGTCTATCA